GATCATCATAAAAAATATACATTTAGAGAAGAATACATAACATTTTTAAAATTATTTGAAGTTGAATACGATGAGAAATACATTTTTAAAGAATTAGAATAATTTGGGTGTTGTCCCTACGGGACAATTAATCACTCATTTAATATTTCTACCAAGATTTTATTCCTAACGGAATATCTTTTAAAATAAAAAAAACACAAATCGTTCTAAAAATACGAAATATAGATAAAAAACAAAATCATGATAAAAACAGACATCATTATTATCGGGGCAGGTCCCGTAGGGCTATTTACCATTTTTGAAGCAGGTTTAATGAAATTAAAATGTCATTTAATTGATGCACTTCCTCAAGTTGGAGGGCAACTTTCAGAAATATATCCTAAAAAACCCATCTACGATATTCCCGGTTTCCCCAGCATTTTAGCAGGAGAATTGGTAGATAATTTAATGGAACAGGCTCGTCCTTTTCATCCCGGATTTACCTTAGGCGACCGTGCGGAAACTATCAAAAAACAAGAAGACGGAACTTTTGTTGTACGAACTGCTTCAGGAGTATTGCATCAGGCTCCGGTAGTAATTATTGCCGGAGGATTAGGTAGTTTTGAGCCTCGAAAACCTCAAATTGAAAATATAGAACTCTACGAAGGGCGAGGCTTGGAATATATGGTAAAAGACCCTAAACAATTCCGTAAAAAGAACCTTCTGATTTCAGGAGGAGGAGATTCTGCACTGGATTGGGCAATTTATTTTGCTAAAGATTACGCAAAATCCGTTACTTTGGTGCATCGTTCCGACCAGTTTAGAGCTCATAAAGATTCTTTAGAACAAATATACAAACTTCAAGAGCAAGGAAAAATCAATTTAATTACCCATGCCGAAGTGGTAGATATATGTAGTGATTCGGAATGTTTTGATAAAGTAGTTCCTCTAAACAGTCATAGTTCTAAAGTCTTAGATACCATTGATGAAGGGGTGTGGTTGAAGTCCGTAAAAGTTCAATATGTAAATGAACCCGATAAAACAGAAACTTTTGAAGTGGATTATTGGTTACCTCTTTTTGGATTATCTCCTAAATTAGGACCCATCGCAGATTGGGGATTGGAGATTGATAAAAACGCTATCGTAGTTAATAATTGTTTGGATTATCAAACCAATATCCCCGGTATTTTTGCAGTTGGAGATGTAAATACCTATCCGGGTAAATTAAAATTAATCTTGTGCGGTTTCCACGAAGCAACCTTAGCGGTGCAAACGGCTTATAAAATCGTTAATCCCGATAAAAAATTTACTATGAAATACACTACCGTAAATGGTATTCAGGAATTAAAATAAAAAGAAGAACAAAAAATAAAGGTGGGGCGAGTTCCCCAAAAAATAGCGAGTAGTTTTTGATTAAGTTGAATGTACAACTCTCTAATTTCGAGAACTGATAAAAGAAAAAAATCAATCTTTCCTTACCTTTAATTTCCGTTTTTCTTTAAATGATTCTTTGGAGAGTGGTACGGTTAGGTTCTTCTTAGGAATTTGATGAGTTTAGGTTCTACCGGCTTGAATAGAAGTAATTACTACGGTGTTGTAGATGTCATCTACGGTAGCTCCTCGACTTAAATCGTTTACCGGTTTGTTTAAACCTTGTAAAACGGGACCGATGGCTAAAGCACCTGTTTCTCTTTGCACAGCTTTGTAGGTATTATTTCCGGTATTCAAATCAGGAAAAATAAGTACATTGGCTTGTCCGGCCACTTCCGAATCGGGCAATTTTTGCTTACCTACTTTTGGATCTACGGCAGCATCGTATTGGATGGGTCCTTCTATCAATAAATCGGGGCGTTGTTGTTTTACTTTTTCGGTGGCTAAGCGAACTTTTTCTACTTCTTCCCCTTGTCCGGAAGTTCCTGAAGAATAAGAAAGCATAGCAATTTTGGGAACTAATCCAAAAGAGGAAGCGGTAGTAGCGGAGGAAATGGCTATCTCGGCTAATTGGTCGGCATCGGGGTTAGGGACAATAGCACAGTCTCCATAAACCAATACTCTGTCGGACAGCAACATAAAAAATACCGATGAAACGGTTTTCACGCCCGGTTGTGTTTTGATAAATTGTAAAGCCGGACGAATGGTATGCTGAGTAGTATTAATTGCCCCGGAAACCATTCCGTCCGCTAATCCTTTATAGACCATCATCGTGCCGAAATAGGACACATCGTGCATTAAATCCCTTGCTTGGGCGAGTTGCATACCCTTTTCTTTTCGTAAATGATACAACGTTTCAGAAAAATCATCCAAATAGGAAGAGGTACTTGGGTTGATGATTTTAATTCGTTCTTCATCCCAATACAATCCTAATAAATTTACCTGAGATTTTATTTTTTTCTCTTCTCCTAAAATCGTTAAATATACCACTTTATCTTCTGCCAACATGGAAGCGGCTCGTAAAATCCTATCATCGGTTCCTTCCGGTAATACGATTCTTTTTTGAATTTTATAGGCTTGCTCCATCATATTGTACTGAAACATACGAGGGGTAATTTGCGTAGATTGATAGTTGGTAATGATGGCATCCAATTCATCGGTATCTACATTTTTATCGAAAAGTTCAAGAGCTATTTTTATTTTTGCGGTACTGGTAGGATATATTTTGGATTTGTTAGAACCTACCTTATTAGCCGTTTCAAAAGTTCCCGTTTTTACTATCATCACCGGCAAATGCGGATGTATTCCTTCTATTAATCGAACGACTGATTCTTCCGGATAATAATCTCCGGTAAGAACAATTCCTGCAACTTTGGTATAATTGGCAGAAATATTGGCAAGCATCGTCCCGACGATTAAATCCGCACGGTCGCCGGGAGTAATTACTAAACAATTCTCCGAGAGTCGTTCCAAGAAATTTCGCATTTGCATTGCTCCCACAATACTTTTCCCCATGATAGTAGAAAGGTGTGTACTTCCCATTAAAATTTTCGCATTTAATTCCTGAGCGACTTCTCCTACGGTGGGTTTGCTTAAAATCGGCTCTATAGGAAGGGTTGAAACTAAATAATCGGGGTGCTTTTGTTTTATTTCATGAATAAATTTATCTTTATCTCCTTTGAATTTATTCGCTATGACAGAAATAACCTTTATATTTTTTTCGGTATAGGATTCGATTTCCAAAGAGGTATTTTTTATTAAACTATCTTCGGTTTTATATCTTTTTGAATTTAAAACCAAAATAACGGGAATGTTTAAATTTTGAGCAATCTCTCTATTCAAATCAAATTCAAACGAATTAACTTCATTAAAAAAATCCGTCCCCTCCACCAAGATAAAATCGTAGTTATTCTCTAAATATTTATATTTTTTTATGATGGTTTCAAAGATTTCATTTTCCTCTCCTTTTCCTTTGAGTTCTTCTACTTCTTTTCGAGTAAAAGCATACGCATCTTCGTATTTTTCCTCTAAATTAAAATACGTCAGGATGGTTTCAATATGATTATCCTTCC